AAGGAATTCAAAGGTATGATTCTAGATCTATTTCAATATTGTTATTACACCTAAATAGTCATTAGAAGTTTCTTGGATTCAAAGCATGTTTGATTAGAAAGCCTAGATCAAGCATTAGGGTTTTGCATGCGCACATAGGAAAGTTCTTATGGATAAAACCCATCACATTATGGATCTTATCAAGGTTAGGATGTGAATCTAGTGTTATTCTATCATTAGCATATGTTTAGTGGTAAAAATATCACCTTGGCCACATATTTTGTTAGAACTCATTTTTGGGATTTTTTAGGGTTTTCTTCCAATCATCTTGTGTCCTTGAATTATTTGAGCATGTTTTGAGGTTAGAACCTCAGATCTGGAATATAGGAGGGCTTGAGAGTCGAAAGATCCGAGCTTTATTGAGCTAGGGGCAGGCTCATGAGCATCTAACCTTCCTTCGGAGCATGTAATGACATTATGGAGCAAATATGCCATGCATGGACATAACGATCAAAACTTTACAAGATAATTGATCCTAGGGAGCCTAGATCTAGTAGTTGGAGTGATAGATCTTCCCTAAAATATTTGAATGGGAGTGGAAGCTGAATGAACTTGTTGAGTCCATGAGTTGCTCGACGATTCGCATAGGGTTTATTTTGATAAGTCTGAGCATGTTGTAACTCGTCAAGTTAGCGGGTCAACTCGACGAGTAGATTTGGTGTTCATAAGGTCTCTAAGGGAACGAGGGGACTGGACGAGTACTCGCGATGCACTCGTCGAGTTGGATCAACATGGACTGTTAACTCAATTTTGACTTCGGTTGACTTTTAGAGTTTTGACCAAATGTGAGTAATTGAGACCTTGGAGGGGTAAAATGGTGTTTTAACCTTAGCAAGAGTTAAAAGGGGTTCATATGTATTTGTTAGATTTTTGGTCAAATTAGAGATAATCATCGCATGTATTAGGCGGAGGCTAGACCGATGATCCGTGTACGATGTGTTTTAGCTTGCTTGCTTCGAGGTGAGTCTTCTCACTATACCTTACCTAGAGTGGTAATTATTTGTGACTAGAGGGTCTTACGTGTTTGCTTGGGTTATGCATTTTTTGTGTGATACAAGTGTTGCATGCTATATTATGTGATATTTATACCAGACCTAAGGGTCCAACAAAGTATGAGACCGGAGGGTTCTCAACCATACCGGACCAGAGGGTCCAACGAACCATGGGATTGGAGGGTCCCAACCAGACCGAACCGGAGGGTCCAACGAGTTGTGGGACTGGAGGGTTCTACTGAGACACATTGACCGGAAGGTCTTACAAAGCTATATCCTTGAGTGTCTAGTTATTTGTACGTGGTATTTTGGAGAACTCAGTAAGCTTTATGCTTACCGTGTTATGTGTTATGTGTTTCAGGTACTTCCGAGGATTGCAGGAAGGCATCGACGTGATTGTGCACACTTGTTCGAGATCATGTTGAGGATTCTAGGATTTGACTTTTGTTGATTTATGTTGACATTCAGACACTTATGGTTTTTATGAAATATAATATATGAGTTTTATGTGTTTTAAAAAGGAAAATTTGGTTTGAAAATTTTACGTTGTTACACAAGTGAATCTAGAAATATCATCTACAATAATGAGAACGTATTTATTACCACTAACGCTTTCGATTGCAGAAGGACAACACAGATCGATATGAAAAAGTTCTAGTTGTTCAATAACTTTCATATTTACAATGGGTGGATGACTATTCTTGATCTGCTTTACCATTTGGCAAGCTGCACCAAGATGTTCCTTATCAGTCTTCAAGAGCGGTAGTCCTCACACATGATCACCAAGAGCTAACTTGTTGATGTCTTTGAAGTTTAGGTGCGAAAGTATGCGATATCGTAACAAACTATCGTAAGATGAAGCTTTTATAAGTAGACAGATAGCTGGCTTCCCACTGATTGGTTTCATATTGAGAGGAAGCATTTCTCCTTTTCATTTGGAATTTTATAGAACATTCTTTGTTTTCTTTTCTATGATTTCAGAGCCCTCATCGTCAAACGAAACTTTAAATCCTGTGCCAACCACTAGCTGCGAAACACAGATCAGTTTATGTTGCAAGCCTTCCACATATGGCACTTTACAAATAAAGATTTCACCATTTCTAATCATCCCATAGCCTTTAATTTCTCCAAGTGAGTTATTACCAAACTTCACTTTTCCACCATCCTTTAGTACTATGTATTCTCGCAACTCTTCCTTCCTTCCTATCATGTGACGTGAGCAGCCACTGTCAATATACCATTTCGAGTCAAACTGGTCATCACATATTAACTGAGAAAGTTAAGTAGATTTAGGAACCCAAAGTTGTTTGGGTCCTCATGAGTTTTTCACAGGAAAAGAAATAGAAGGATCAACTATATATTTTTGTTTTATTAAGCTTTTTTTGTCTTTCTTTGTGATTTTAAAAACAGTAATCCTATTATCTTTTAAGTTAGCATCATTGGTGGATGATTTCCTTTGATTATCCTAGATTTGCTGTTTAACAGCATTTTTCTCAACTTGCTTAAGGTTCGCTTTAGATCTTTTCAGAGGAACCTTAGACTTCGAAACCATATTTCCTTTGCCTTTCATGTCTTACAAAGCTTTGAGTGAATGCAAAATATTCCTATTAGAAAAGGTGTGAATGATGGTTTTCTGCATAGGTTTGTCGTGATTTTGAAAGGATGATTTTTGAGAAGCTCTATGATGTGAATGCTTAGGTGCATGATTTTGTTGAAAGGTCCTAGGTTTCCTAGATGATGAGAATTTTGAATTTGGATGGACTTTTTCCTTATGAACAAACTTTGGATTCCTAGTCTGCCATAACTACTTTCTTTCCTTAAGATTCTTGTTATATCTAGCATTCCTTTGGTGTTTTTGTGATGCAAACTGTTGGATTAATGTCTAAGTCCATAACTATATTTGGTATGTACTTGACCTGACCCGGCATGGTCCATTTGGGTTGCACTTCACCGACACAATTTATATGGATAATCTTTTGACAATAGTATGTTTATGATTACATATTAATATATAATAAGTTCTAATATATTATTATGGAATCATATTATTTAATTAGTATTGATCAAGAATTAATTTATAATTAATTAAGTGATCAAAAGGAACTAATTAAATATGGACTCTTATATATATGGAATGGGCCAAGTTCATTTAGGTTGGGCTAAGCTTTCATGGATAGTCCATGGAGTGTTTAACCCATGGATCCTAGGAAATGAAAGGTCATGGGTATTAGGGTTTAACCCTAATCCTCCACACTATATAAAGATGTCCTTGGTTGGTGAAATTGGCACTAGTGTGGTACACTATGAAGGGCTAGCCGATTTCACTAGAAGGAACCAAGTATCCATATTCTCTAAAGTCTTTCAAGGTTTTTTTTGTGATTTGTGATTCCACTTGAGGCTTCCACACTATTGGGGCTAAGCTCTTAAAGCTTGAAGACATCAAGCTCCATCAAAAGGTATGTCATCTAACTAGTACTTTGTAGTATGAGATCTTCATAATATGCTAGTTAGGATTAAAGCCTTGGAAAGTTCTTATTTGCATGTATTATAGAGAAAACATAGATCCAAGGTTTATAGGGTTGCATGTACACCATAGGAGTGTTAGAATGCTCATAACCCAATAATGGTATCAGAGCCTAGGCTTGTTTTCTTGTTATACTTGCAAAACTGCTTAAAAATCGAAATTGTTGCTGTCTGATCATCAGACTCGGCGAGTCCATGCCTTAAAAGTGATCAAATCGATCCAACTCGCCGAGTTGGTTCATGCACTCGACGAGTTGGACCCCCAGACAGCATATTTTCGAGGTTTTTGGGTAGAGATGGACTAGGAACATTACCTTATGTTGTTTTGAACTTATAAACTTGTTTTTGAAGTGGTAATGTTCATGCTAATCCAATTTCAAAGATAATTGTCAACAGATTCATGTTTTGTATTAGTTTAAGGTTTACACTAATTACATGAAAAAGTTTTATTTGAATTATCTTGTTCTTATGAGTTACTTAGATTAATAGAAAAGTTGAGTGAAATAGTTGTTTTCAATCCAAATTAATCTAAGAGTTGATTCTAAAATGTGTTTTTGTAACTTGTCCTCAAGTTATATGAAAAGTCACATTTAAGTTTCATAAAACTCATAAAAGTTTGCAAAGGTTACAAAATGAAGAGTCTAGTTCTAATTAATTGGAGTTATGACTCCATAATTTGTCCTCAAGTTATGGAGGACCAAGAATCTCTTCATTAAATAATAAATAAATAAAAAGTGTAACCTTAATTAATTCCATAAGTTATAAAATAAAGAAAAGTTAATTCTTTTATTAGTTTAAAGTCTTCCATAACTTGTCCTCAAGTTATGGAACTTGAAGAGTTTTTGGATTAAAACTACTTTAAACACATAAGTTATGGAATTAATTAGTTTTGAATAGTTTCAAAACTTGCCCTCAAGTTTTGGAATTTGTAAAGTTTTCTCTTATGAATACTTTAATTCCAAGTTAGCCCTTAGAATTTTAAGAGTTAAA